AATTTTGAAGAACTTAAAAGTAATTAAAGACACGTCAGAAGTCGGGAAAGCTCATTTCCCGCCATCTATAAATCGAAATTTTCCCGGGGGAGGAATGTTGAAAAAGAGAAGAGAAAAATAAAGACAAGAATAAAAAGGAAGATATAATGAACAGATATCACAATACCTCGACCTACAACCCCTTCTCCACTTCAAAAAGTGTCCATAGCGCATTTGATCTAAGCCGCCAGATATTCTCCGCAGTGGCGTAAGCACCGGGGGACAATGGGAAAATATCCATCTGTGGAAAATCTTTCCCCATTGAATGCCCATTTCACTCGGGAAAGTGCCTGAAAACCTCAAATTTTAAATCGCATGTTTTGTTGAGGTAGGCCAATTTCATCTAAAAATTGCACATTTTAGGGAGTTTAGATCAATTCCGACGAAATTAGAATTAAAAAACCAAAAATTTTTCGCGCGTTTCGCGCGCATTTTTTAATGTTGAGGCTTGTGCTTGCTCTCCTTTGCATTCTAAGTTATAGCACATAGTCCCAAACTCAAAAAAGAAAATTTAAGATAGATCGTTTTACCTAAAAGAGGGGCCTCAATGTGTAATGATGTTGAAAGAATATGTTTGTAATAAATAAAGCTAGCCATAAGGAAAATGCTTATATTCAGTTTTTTTAAAAATGAATGTGGCCATATATAACATAAGAGCATTTCTTGTTGAGGTAGGCCAATTTCCTCTAAAAATTGCACATTTTAGGGAGTTTTGATCAATTCCGACGAAATTAAAATTAAAAAAAAAACAAAAATTTTTCGCACGCTTCGCGCATTTTTTAATCTTCAAGCTTTTGCTTGCTCTCTTTCGCCTTTTTTTTGCCATATTGTTGGATGTTTACACTACTCAGTTAATGATACCATTGCAATTCTCATTAGACTATGAATAAATATTCACACCATTAACAATCAACCATTCTCGTTTCCAACCAATCACAGGTAGCTCCACCTTCCTCATATCCGAAGATGATTGAAACATACAAACAGATAATTTTATTTTTTAGTCTGGTTTTTATCTCAAAAACCATGTTATTACATATGGTGTACCAAAATTTTAATTATTTTATTAATTAATTATTGTAAGAATAACAATAATAATACTGTAATAATAATAATAAAAGGCCTAATAATAGGTCTAATAATAGGCCTAATAATAATAATAAAATAATAATAATAATAATAAAAACAATAATAATAATAATATTATATATTATTATTATTATTATTTTGAAGTACCATAAATATAATAATAATAATAATAATAATAATAATAATTAAAACAATAATAATAATAATAATAATAATAATAATAATAATAATAATAATAATAAAAACAATAATAATAATAATTATATATATTATTATTATTGTTATTTTGAAGTACCATAAATTATCTTCTCGAATAAGCGCTTATAACATTTTTGGATGCTTCGATACCGGAGCTTATTAAAAAAAATATTAGTGTAGCGCTTGCCATGCCCGTTCATATGTTACCTATCTCACCGTTCTGCAGCCTATGGGTCACGACCCAATGTCTGGGTCGTGGAAAAATGTTGATGGGTCGCATAACCAGCTCTTCAGATCGTGAAAACAAACGAAATCAAATTACAGTAAACGAAAGGAGATTTAAAGTGTGACGTGAGTCAGTTTACTTTTATAATGCGTGCGTAATCAAAGTTTCATTTTAAAATATATACAATTAAAACAGTCGTACTTCAGCTATGACAACCTGAAAGTGTTCGTTTTGTTCATTTCAATGTGTTTGGCTTTCAGCTGAAAATGTTTCTTTGTTTTCGCATAACCCATACATATCGGATAGTAAATCTAGGATTTTATGTATATTAAAATGTCTGTTACAAGTCTGTAACGTATTTAAAATTTTGAAAACTTTAAGTGGCTTTGTAAAATGAGTAATTCAAAGTTATATTTTAATTTTTTACTGGTAATAAATTTATTTTGTGGGTGGTGTCTCTGTTAAGTTACGGTTATGTCGATCTTCTGCTCGACTCAACTCCAGTAGAGCTCAGTCGCCTCAAATCGCAAGACTCACAATTTCTCGCCAGTTGCTTGGCACGTTTCCAAGGCCAGGAGATGTCAGTTAAGTTGAGTTGCAAGGGCGATATAAGCTTAGCTTTAGGGTATTCTTGCACTGAGTTACATCATGGTTACATCATTTAAATATAGGCCTAAAGTTAATTAATCAGCACATTATCGTAATGTGATTTATGTCGCAAGAGAACAGTTGAAACGAAACGAAAACATAAGAGATACAACTAAATTGTATAGAATTTTTTTTTATTTATTCCACAGAGGAAAACAAAATATTGTAACGTGTAATCACATATAGTAATGGGGTATCCACCAATAAATCGTTAATATTAGTAAAATTATACTATACAATAAACACATGGAAAGCTGCCCCTAAAAATTACTGTAAGTATGTATTTGTTAAAGTACTTACGTTGTGTTAAATACATATAACCATTAAATTTACATATTATGCCCTTAGCACAATTATTGATACACGGGTATACGTTCAATGCTAATTAAAATATAAGTCGTAATTGAAGAGTTGTAAAAAAGAATTCCAGGGCTTCAATTCGAGGTTTTACGGTATTTTAGGGTATATTATTGACTCTTATTAATAATATATAAACTGCAAGTGCAATTTCTGTTGAATAAAATATAAAAAACATAATTAAAATATCATACACGAATGTTGGGCTATTTAATAATATATGAAAATATAGCTGAAATATTTTATTTTATTTATTTTTTAAAATTTTTATTTATTTATTTATTTATTTTTGCTGTTTTTGGATCGCTTAGGAACCACTAAGTTGTTTCCCTCTTTCTTTGGCCTATTGATAGTTGCCATGTAGAACTTATAACTAGAGAGCGCACGCACATAATTCGGATGGCAGTCACGTGACTACGTAATGTAGGCAAAGAATATATTCGTAATAAAGAATTTAGTTTATTCTAAAATATAATCAAAGGAATTTCTTATCTCGGGCCTCTTCTTACTTAACGTTTTTATTGAGTTTGGCGAGCTTTAGAACCAATTTCCTGAACAGAGGTTTCAAATTCGTGCTTAATTCCGTCATCAACATTTTTTTACATTTGAAAAAAAAGAGATATTTTTTTTGTAAAATTGATACTTTTTTACTCAAATAAACGCCCTTAATTTCAATGTAAGTGTGAAATACATATTTACCGTCCAGATGTGTTACTGTGTAGGAAAAAATGTAATTTTATTGGAATAGATGATTATTAGAATGTCATGAGAAAGAGTTTGCTTCCATAATGATTTGTTTACAATAATTTAGGGAGATTTTATTCGAGGAAATAAATTAACGCTTCGGGGCAATTATGCAAGAGAGGCGTTTCCAAATGAGAGGGGGAGTTTATTTTTTTTAGGGGGACTAGGCTATGTTCAAAGCTGGTGTTTATTCTAATAAATAAGGTAAATTAAATCACGGAGGAATTAGTTTAGAAGCTAAAATCCATGTTTAAATCTTCTCGGATGCGTCTAAATATAACACAGGGGGTAAAGATTATCTCTTGGATAAGATCAATGGTACTCTTCTTCGATTTGTAAGGTTACACATTTTATATGATATCGTATTCGTCACTCCTGTCATACAATAGTATAAAAAAAGTCATTCATTTTTATGCACAATATAAAAATATTATAGTAATTATTACTATTGTCAAAAATTCAATAATTCCATTTACAATTACGATGAAAAATAATCATTATAATGTTATTGCTTATTCGAAAATTAGATAAAAAATGATGAATATAAAAATAGGTCATTAATTAATATGTATAAAAATATGATAATAATGAATACAATTACAATTACTAAAATTCAATTAATAAATAAAAGTACAAAAAAAGTGTGTAGCTATTAAAACTCTCTGGAAATCTTAGTCCGACTGTGTGAGGGCATTATGAGGGACGTTAAGGAGACGCTTCGCCGTTTGGCTAAGTACGTATTGAATAACATTTACTTTAGGAACTTGGTGGTTATCCTTCTAATATACCAGTGAGGGATGGCGTGGAGAGAGTGGTCGGTCTAAAATTATTTTTCGTTGCCTTGCTGTGTAAGTGCTGATTTGAAGGGGTCGGGGTTTATATTGCAATCGATAATATCGGGCAGGAGATTCCCGTCTTTAATAGTGCGGGGAAAGAAGGATTGAATATAACATCGGTCCTTGTCTGAGAGATTTGGAATTGTTGGTTGTGTCCTCGTCTTGGTCTGGCTAGTTTTGGTGTAATAATAGTCGTGGTAATTTATGTCCATCAGGCCGTTGAGGACTTTGTGAAAGCGTAAGCAACGGTATTGTTTTCTTCTCTCTTGCAGAGGGGTCCAGCCCAGAGTATTTAATATGAGGAGATAGATGTATCACGTCCGTAGGTGTTGGTAAAAAAAACCTAGCTAAAATATACACCTAAACCTATTTTAATCAATCGTGATGTTGGTAGTCTATGAGTGAGATACTTGGATAACCTTCCATCCCTTCCTACCCTCTCCATGATCTTTTGGATATCTAGGGAATGAGGACGTTTGTTAGGGAGACGGTTTGTTTGTGGCGCCCTGGGTTAGACTGTTCCATTATTTTTCGAAGGGGTGTTCCGTTTTGGGAACAATGGCTTGACCATGTGTGATTTAGTTTGTTCTCTAGTCTACCTTTTTTTTATTCGTTAGCATTATAACTTTTAGTGTAATGTCTTACTAGTTTACAATGTTTATTATTAATTAAATACAGCAATGGTAAGAGAAGATAAACTTTATTTCGTGACCAAAAAAATATAGATATTTGCTTTTCTTGATACTTAACACAATTAATACAGTATGAGATAAATATAAAAACAGATTGATTGCACATAAAATGATATATAAATGAAAGACTGAAACAAATAAGTATACAGTACAATATACAAACTACCTTTTTGAAAATTTAATTGTAAACACGAGTTGAGTTACGAACAAAAGTCATCCTGTGTTATTTATTAACATGATCATTGTTTAATGGGTATGAAAAAATATCTTCCATAATACTTTACGAGTGATGTATCTTGAGTATATTTCCTAATTGAGATATGGATTTTCTTAAAAATAATATATATATATATATATATATATATATATATATTAATGATTGTTCCATATTCTAATAGTTATAATAAACATATAGTATACTTTATGGATTTCCTTAAAAATATCTTCCATAATGTTTTCAAAAATGGCGTCACCAATTATTATATAACTGTTTGAAGGATTACTGACAAAGCAAATCATAATCAATGATAAAATTAACTAAATGTTCTGTCGTTATACATTGGTTTCATAACACTATAAGTAATACAACAATAAAGTTGCTTGGAACCTTTCTCCATGCTTTTCATTATTAGCGCTTTACGGCCCCACCCTTGTCAGCCTGTTGTTTCCGTATTTCTAAGGTGTTTCTACTCGGAAAAGGTTCTGCTTTGATAAAACCGACAATTTATTTACATTACCCAACACATTTAAATTCTATATTCGAGCAGTGATTGGATGGAAAGATGTATTGCTTTTATCCGGCGGGCTATAAAACAACGTGTTTTCTTACTCAATAACAGTATTTTTCAGTCAGCACTGAAGTTTTCCTAACAAGGTGCATCGGAGAATCAAATTATTATTTTACTTGTATTACATTGGCTACGTCAGCAGATTAGAACGTAAGTATATCGTCTTTTCATCCAGTAATTTATTACTTTTTTATATTTTTTGAATAATTATTAAATATTTAGCCATATTATATTTTACGCTCATTACAAGAAGGAAAACAATCTTTTGTTATTTTTTTAACGCAATAAGTTCATGAAGCTTTAAAATTTATCTATAATGAAGCTTATTTATCAAGACTACTGAAAAATTTTGGCATTTTATTTTATAAATTTATTTTTTATGTTATAAAAATACTATTAGTATTATTTTACCAAGAAAATATATTTAATGTGTTTCAAATTATTATCTTGTTTACTTTACATTATTTATTTCAACAATCTTTAATGGCGGTCGAAAGTGATCATTAAGGACCCTCAATACACAGCAAATGCAAGACATAAAGAGTAAAGGCAAGAAAGTCTAATTAACAAATAGTAGTATAAATAAATTTAGACTACTGAAAGTAGCCCTATTGAAATAAACAATCAAAAAAATAAATAAAAAATATATTTTTATTAGGAAGAAAAAACAAAAGAAAGAAAGCAACAATCTTTCAATTCTTAATTTACAAAATGAATTAATTGAAAATGTTACACTCTTCAGAGTTCTTCAGAGGTTCTTGGTTGTCCTGTGTATATGGAACCCGCAGTGTAAAAAGGTTCTTTATTTTGAAGGGTTCTGTAAATAGTTGTAAAATCACTTTAACGAACGAATTTAACTTCACTTTAACGAATTGGTTTGAAGGGCCCTATAGCGAACCAATTTTTCTTCTTTTTTGAACCTGTATATAGTATATATATAATTTATATTAAGTTCTATGTATATATAGAACTTAATATATATTAAGTTATATATATACTTCTGTATATATAGAACTTAATATATATTCAGTTATATATATATATACTCCTGTGTGTATATATAGAACTTAAATATATATATTAAGCTCTATATATGAGTATATATATATATTATATATAGAACTTAATATATATATATATTGAATTCTATATATACAGGAGTATATATAAAACTTAATATAAATTGTTATGTTAAGTTCTATATATACAGGAGTATATATAGAACTTAATATAAATTTTTAAAGAAATTGTAAATTGAATTTTCAATTAAAGATGCACATTAGTCAATAATTAATAGCATTCAGTATAGATAACGGTTTTTATTTACGTTATTGTCATCATCATTATCACCATCAAGATGATGATGATGATCATCGTCTTCATCTTCATATATAATATCTATAATATTATTAACATCAATACCATTATTGTCATTCTCATTATCATCACCATCATTATTAGTGTCATTATTGATTTCATCATCATCATCATCATCATCATCATCATCATCATCATCATCATCATCATCATCATCATCATCATCATCACCATTGATATCATTGTCATCATTCTTTACCATTCCAATCATTTTTATCATCATTACCATTATCATCATCATTAGAATCCTCATGATTTTTCTCGCCTTTGGGAATCTCTTCATATTAGTATAAGAACAATCAACAGTTTTAAATCATTCACGTTGGCTCTTCGTTCGTATATTCAGCAGCTGTAATGTAAAAATGTTACTTTATTTTGATGACGATTTTCAAATTTGTTATTGTATTTGTTTTAAACTTTATTCTATGATAACATTTTTGTATTTCATTTTTATATCGAACCTTGAGATAGTTTTAATGTTTAGTATACGCAATAAAATGAATAAAAATACATAAAATACATTATTGTCGTCACATAAATAACATCACTTTGTAATTATTAAGAAATAAAATAATAATATTCCAATAATTTTAATAAACAGAAGTGAAACTTAATGCCATTCCCATTTGTCTCATATTGGTTAATTATTCAAAAGACGGATGGTACACACATAGTACCTTATCTATTTTAAAATTTCTTTATTAATTCTTGTGTTATTTTTATTTTTTAGGATGTCCATCCAGAGATTTAAGTTGCTTAATGTATTGTCAGCCTCTGAGCTAAAACAGTTGTGTCGAGATGCTCAAATGAAGGTGTCTGGTACGAGGCGGGAGATGGTTTTGCGCCTACTTGGCATAAAAGATGTGAAGACCAGAATTTCCATGAATACTGTTAACAGAATGCTTGAAAAAGAAGGCGTCACAAATATCAGTAGCGTCAGCAGATGTCTTCGAGTAGGAATCCGGATGGGTTACATTGACATCAGCGGTGACAAACCTTTGGACAATGTAGTAATTTCCGATGCGTGCTTTCTTTGTCATCATAAACTAGAAGTGGCCATCCGGGACCTCCTCTACCAGCCAGATCATCCAAGATATGGGTCCACTGGTCTGGACGCAGCTGTGAAATGTCCGAACAAAACGTGCAAACATGGCTTGTATGTGACCGGCATGTGTTGCGATTCTATGTACATTAACTCTGGTGAGAAGTTCTTCCATTTTGGCGAATGTTACGGAGATTATCTCAAAGAGGTCTGTGAAGGATGCGGTTGTTCTTTTTACTCATGTAGAGGGCGCTTCCAGTGCCCATGTGTATATACGGGTACGGATTACGGCACCTTTGATGAGGCCTTTCTCGAATCGCTTTATTCTTCTAGAGCTAGAGAGTATTCCCCAGAAGATATATATAACATGATGTACAACGACAACTAGGGATACAAATGATATACGAGAGTTTTATAATACATGCTTTTCTGGATTTTGGATGCCTCTTTGATCGTTTGTTTCTCTACGATGTTTTATGTATTTTTAACAAGGGCATATAGGCATAGACTGTGAAGCATATTTATGTATAATTCTTGGAGTTAAGATATTTGAATTGCTATTCTGCAGTGTGTTAAATAAATTGTGTATGCATGTTCTCTATGTAAGTGTTGAATATTTCTTTTGTGTTTTCATTTATTTTTTATACTGTCAGCACTAGTCGCCTCACATCGCACTACTCACAATTGCGCGCCTTTTGTTGGCACGCTGTCAACGGTCAGGTGATGTTATTTGAGTTAATGACTTTACATAATTGCTGCGAAGCAGCCAATTCATATTCTTGACAGCAATTTGACCTCTGAAAGGTCATTGTTTGTCAAAAAAACAAGAGCCTAAGACGACTGAAAATCGGAGTTCCCTTCTTTCGTTCTGCCGGGTAAAATCAATTACTTTAGGCGACGTTTGTAAAATAACCAACACGTACCAACGTCCGCATGTCGCGCTAGCCTTATCCTACTCTAGGCCTAGACTAGCTAGGATGGTATAGGCCTAGCCTTGAAGGGACAAAGGTCCCAATGAAAAACAACGTCGCTCCTTGATAGCTAACATTGTCTATTTAACATCACAATAATTCATTATTAGACCTATAGTTGTTTTTTGAATTTCACTCCACAAATCTCAGCCGTGACCTCGCACAACTCGAGTAACGTCTCATATCTATTGTCGTGACGTCATGGCTCGCTGGCTCACACTTGTGATGTCTCGCACTTGTGATCAAATAACACACTGGCTCGCACTTTGGCAACACTCTTTGGCAGTCAACTCGCCCCTAGAAAACCCGCCCTTGGAAACTTGCCCCATAAAAAAATGTACATTTCCTAGACCATGCAGTCTTCAAAATAAAAATTGTAACCTTTGGTAATCAACTACATTTTACCACACACCTAAACAATAATTCACCACTATAGACACTTTTTGAGAAAAATAAAAAATTACGACTTTGTTACCCAATGAGAAGTGTTCTAATATAGAAAATGGGGTCGTGTCTCATATTATTTGTTATATTTTTATTATTCATTATTTTCACTTGACTCGCATAAATAATTTTGTTCGAAGAACATTTATATGCTGTTGTACTTCACGGCATTCACTTGCAATTTGCAATTTCTAGTTTATAGTCCTTGGTTGAGTGAAGTTGCAAGGATAACTTAAGCATGGTTTAAGAGTATTCTTGCACCAAGTTACATAATGGTTACATCATTCAAATATCTTCACATAAGATTTGAATGTAGGCCTAAATTTTACAAAGCACCATTAATCAGCACATTGTCTTAACGTTTAGTGGCGGATCCAAGGGGTGGGGGAAGCCAGCCCGCACCACCCCCCCCCCCCCCCCCTAAATTTTCCCCCCCCCAACCTAAATTCTTCAAAATTGTACAAAATTGGTGAAAAAAGAAAATTATATTTAAATTTTAAGTCTGAGAGTGGAATTTCCGGCCTTCTAGAGGTAACATAATCTTAAATTATCTTACCTACAAACGCAGAGGCTTTATAAAGGGCATAGAGGTTTTATGCATTATGCGCTCTATAAATCCAGTCCATCCATTTATTATTATTATTATTATTATTATTTTTATTATTATTATTATTATTATTATAATTATTATTATTATTGTTATTATTATTATCATCATCATCATTATTATTATCATCTTCATCATTATTGTTATCATCATCATCACCATCATCATCATCATCATCATCATCATCATCATCATCATCATTATTATTATTATTATTATTATTATTATTAACCACCATGGTGGGGCTGAGGTGGTATAGACTCTCCATCTGTCAAAGGTTCTGATGTTTTATAAACAAATGTTTTCAAAAAGAGACATTTTGAATTAGGTGTGGGAATCAATATCTATAAAGCCTAATTCTCAGTGCAGAATATGGATCTCATTTATTGTTTAGTTATAAATGATATTAAATTTTCCTCTAAACTTTAACCGTGTTTTTATCAAACTGTATTAGACTCTTTCAATTTTTAATGTTTAATTTTAAACATATTTTCATATTTTTGTGAATTTTATTGATTCTTTGTAAAATGTTGCCGCAATAAAATTTACAACTGCGAGTGTAAATTTTGTTAAATGAAAGTTAAAAAGCAGGTTACTATATACCTAATTCATTATGTGGCTTAAGCTTAAAAACTGGCAAATTTTAAACATCATACAATCATTTTAGGTTCTTAACATTGTTGCATTTATATCGGACCCTAACGTCCAAAATTCGGACTGCGTTTGCGAAGATTCAATTGAGATTTTAAAAAATCGATAAATAAAATCTGCTCGGATACTGATATTATACGTCTAAAATAATTCGGGGTCAGCTGTGCAAATAAAACAAACCTAATGGTAGTCGTCTTTGATTGTACATAGCATTCTGTCTTGCTCGTCCTATGTTAATCCTGTTAGTAGTGGGTGGCAAGAAGAAATCTCAGGACAACTTATTCTTACTTATTCATCCCTAATAATATAGGGTGTATATTAGGGATGTGAAAAACATGCTTTCTGTTTTTAAAATATGTACTATATAATAAGACTATATTTGAGTCTATAAACTCTAAAAATATTGATTTATCCCAACCAGGAAATTTAATAATCTTTCTTTAAAAAGAGCTATAATTGTCATAAAGAATATCTTGTCCACTCCTAAGATTGAAATAAAATAAACATTCTGAGGTAAGACTAATTGATTAATATATACAACGTAGTGTACATAGTTAATTCAAAGCCGGTATAAACAAAGAATGGGTGGGCGATAAGATACTACAATGGATGAGTAGTATGGGAGGCTGTGTATATAAGGAAAGCGTCACATTACCTGGTACACTAATTAGTTAATTACAGGATAAACTATAATCTTAACAATATATATAAGTCATTAAAACAATAAATGCAGATATCTGCATTTATTAATTATGCAATTATATGTGTGTATACCCCCATATCATTGGAATAGTAACAATAATAACCATTATTACTGTAATAATAATTGACTAAAAATCTCCTAAATTATAAAGTCCCATATGCCTTTCAGTCTCTTAATTTTTATTATTATTCTCATTCTGGACAGCGCCACCAACGAGAAAGATAATTTAGAGCAAAGATCTTATAAACACAAGATAGCGTTCTCCGGGATTTACGCGTAAAAATTCTGTAATAAGGCTTGAATGGCGCCCTCTTGCTAAATTGGAAACTTTTGACCCTTGACCGCGCTGATCTGACCATACAATACACCGCCTGTGAACAGCAGAACAGGAACCATCTCAGATCCATGGCAACAGATAAAACGCCCTCTTCCAAAACTTAGTACTTTTTCTCTTCGGTAATAGCGCATGAATGGCGCCCTCTTGCTAAATGGGAAACTTTTGAACCTTGACCGACGCTTCTATTTGTTACGCGTAAATCGCGGAGAACGCTATCTTGTGTTTATAAGATCTTTGATTTAGAGCAAAGATCTTATAAACACATTCCACTAATGGAGGAAAACTGTTTTAGATGTGTATAAGAGACAGGTTCACAACAGCAGCAAATGAATTCAGGGCCAGATTCAATAGATTTCCAAAAATTGTTTTGAATGTTGACCAATGTTGGCTTTTTGTGCAACTTTCGTTTTCGTGGACTTTTATTTATTTCTTCAGCACGTGTTCCATGAAGTCTAGCCTGTTTCATTCTTTTATGATTTAATTTTTGCTCTTTCTGTCTGTAAATAGGATCTGCTCGTTTTTGTTTTATGTATTCAGCATTCGATTTTCTGTATACTGGATCAATTCGCACCTTTTCCATGCGTTCAGCATTAGCCTTTCGCTCTTTCCTCCTGCACACTGGGTCCATTCGTTTTTTTTCTATGCATTCAGCATTACATTGTAGGTTTTTCTTTAGGTATATTGGATCAGTTCGCCTTTCAGTCTCTTAATTTTTATTATTTTTCTCATTCTGGACAGCGCCACCAACGAGAAAGATAATTTAGAGCAAAGATCTTATAAACACAAGATAGCGTTCTCCGCGATATACGTACGTGTGAAAATTCTGTAATAAGGCATGAATGGCGCCCTCTTGCCAAGGTGGAAACTTTTGACCCTTGACCGTTCTGACCATACCGTACACCGCGCGACTTTACCTTTAGGGTATCAATCCTGTGAACAGCAGAACAGGAACCATCTCAAATCCATGGCAACAGATAGGACGCCCTCTTCCAAAACTGATCACTTTTTTTCTTTGGTATAATAGCACATGAATGGCGCCCTCTTGCTAAATTGGAAACTTTTGAACCTTGACCGACGCTTCTATTTGTTACGCGTAAATCGCGGAGAACGCTATCTTGTGTTTATAAGATCTTTGATTTAGAGACGGAATATGCTAATTCGTAGGAAAGCGGCACCTTCAAAAAAAAATCGAGTATGGGACGCCAATTAAATTAGGTATGGCGCGCACTAAGTGCAATAAAGAGTGAGTAACTTAAAATTAGGGCCTGGAACCCAGGCAAGCCTTTTAGCTAAGCGCCGCCCATTGGATATTGTTGTTAAGATCCCAAAAAACTACAGTGTAGAAACGTACGCGAACACACGAATTGTTGGACACGCGCGTATTCCCGACCTTGTTCTGATTAGTCTATTCCCGGAAAGGTCTATTATAAAGAACTTTCGGGAGTACATTTGCACATAGGTAACTGTTATACTTCTTTGAACTACCTAACAATCTAATATTTTCGAGAGAATAGTGTATTACGAGGAATTTACGTCAGAACCTGCGACCGACCTTTGAGATCTGTTATTATCATAGCGATATAATAAGAATACTAGAGCGCTAACTGCAATGTATTTGATGTTCAAAATACGCAGAGCTGTGTGTGTGTAACATCCAAGATGGCTGCTATAGATTTAGCCAATCAAATTTCGCCAAAGCACCATAATTTGAAATTGCGCCCTCAATTTACACAGAAAGTTCAATACAGCTAGTTACCCGTATGTTTGAAACTCGAGCGTTGCGGTGTATGGGTGTAATGTACACAATTTTAATTCTTATTCCTTGTTACTTTATTTTTAAATAAGATGCTCCACTTGGCCTCAATTGGGCTACGATTGTTTACGAATTTGTTATTACCATTACACATTATCATTAATGAAACAATAGTCAGTCAGAGAGCTTATTTATGGAAATAATATGTATACTAAGCCTGAAGGTGGCGCTAAAACTAAGACGGCCATCTTGGATGGTACGCATACATAACTCTGCCTTGCTTTGCCATCTTTTCAGCACTCTAGTTGTTTAATAGCTCTATGGTTATTATTTAAACTTCACCGGAAGTACGTCATTTTAAGTTATTTTTTTTAAACGAAATTTATTATTCTCCTCCATGTTTTATTAGCGAAATTTGTTGCAAGCTTCAGGGGTGGCGCCAGGATTTGCCTGATGGGGTGGGGGAGAAAGTGGAGAGGTCCTCGACGGGTGGTGGGGGAGGGAGGGGGCGATGCCTTTGACGAGGGTTTAGATTTCCCCGACGAAAGCAAACTGGACGTGGTCGAGCTTTGATTTCAGTGGTCCAGGGGAGAAGCCCCCGAAAATTTAGACAATTTAGGGGTTTCAAAGGCTTTTAGTCGAATTTAGAGTCTACTAATATGTAGAAAATACATGTTTTTCTCTCCGCCGAATTGTGCTTTTTCTTCCCGCCGGGGTGAAAATTTTTATAACCATGTAAAGTACAGTTGGTCTGAAGAGTGTTTTCTCAGTTTTGAAAATGAAACGGTCCACAAAAGAATTTTTTCTCTCTGTCAACATTTTAGTGGATCTGATGGGGTGGGGGTGTGTGGCAGGGGACTAACCTTGCTCCCTAACAATTTGGGCAAAACAAAATTAAAGGAAATAAATAAAAAATAAAAAAGAATCTAGACCTACCTTTTCAGGACCCGTGAGCTGAAATTTTTTTGTTACAATGGGAAAATTAGAAGTCAGAAAAGCTCATTTCCCGCCATCTATAGTAATCTAAATTTTCCCGGGGGAGAACCCTCCGTATTTTATGCCGCGCGAGATCGTTTACGACGCAATGAAAAATAACAACCAAAGTTTGGATGGAAATTTTCATTTTAATAACAAATGATGAAAACAATAAATACAATTAACTATAGCCAGATATATAAAATGGGCAGCCGACAATAACTCGTAGTCTTATTAAATGTAATAGGCCTAGTAAAGCTGTCCTAATATACAATACATCCTAGTCAGTCAGTCAGTGGGGGAATCAGGGGGAGGGAATATTAAAAATAGATGACGTCAATACGATATGAAAGCAGTACAGTAAAAGACCGCATATGGAAGATGTGTGCTATTAAATTACGCACGCTACCCACAATGCAATAATATAACGCCCTCGTGATTAATCGCCAAGATTCTGCACTCGTGCGACACAAATATATATATTTAAAAAATACCGATTTTTGCCAAGCGATGGCTGAAATTTTCCATGACATTTGAAGCAATATTTTCAATGTTATTTAGTCAGAAATTCCGTTCTGAACTTATTTACTGTCTCTTATACACATCTAGATGTGTATAAGAGACAGGGATAAAATAATAATAATATTATATATTATTATTATTATTTTGAAGTACCATAAATTATCTTCTCGAATAAGCGCTTATAACATTTTTGGATGCTTCGATACCGGAGCTTATTAAAAAAAAATATTAGTGTAGCGCTTGCCATGCCCGTTCATATGTTACCTATCTCACCGTTCTGCAGCCTATGGGTCACGACCCAATGTCTGGGTCGTGCAAAAAATATTGATAGGTCGCATAACCAGCTCTTCAGATCGTGAAAACAAACGAATGAGGACAAACGAAATCAAATTACAGTAAACGAAAGGAGATTTAAAGTGTGACGTGTGTCAGTTTACTTTTATAATGCGTGCGTAATCAAAGTTTCATTTTAAAATATATACAATTAAAACAGTCGTACTTCAGCTATGACAACCCGAAAGTGTTCGTTTTGTTCATTTCAATGTGTTCGGCTTTCAGCTGAAAATGTGTCTTTGTTTTCGCATAACCCATACATTTCGGATAGCAAATCTAGGATTTTATGTATATTAAAATGTCTGTTACAAGTCTGTAACGTATTTAAAATTTTGAAAACTTTGTTAAATGAGTAATGGCTTTGTTAAATGAGTAATTCAAAGTTATATTTTAATTTTTTACTGGTATTAAATTTATTTTGTGGGTGGTGTCTCTGTTAAGTTACGTTTCTGTCGATCTTCTGCTCGACTCAACTCCAGTAGAGCTCAGTCGCCTCAAATCGCAAGACTCACAATTTCTCACCAGTTGCTTGGCACATTTCCAATGCCAGGAGATGTCAGTTAAGTTGAGTTGCAAGGGCGACCTAAGCATAGCTTTAGGGTATTCCTATACTGATTTACATCATGGTTACATCATTTAAATATAGGCCTAAAGTTACAAAGCGTCATTAATCATCACATTGTCGTAATGTGCTTTATGTCGCAAGAGAACAGTTGAAACGAAACGAAAACATAAGCGATACAACTAAATTGTATAGAAATGTTTTTTATTTATTCAACAAAGGAAAACAAAATATTGTAACGTGTAATCACATATAGTAATGGAGTAACCACCACTAAATCGTTAATATTAGTAAAATTATACTATACAATATAAACATGGAAAGGCTGCCCCTAAAAATTACTATATGTATGTTGTGTTAATTACATATAACCATTACATTTACATATGCCCTTAGCACAATTATTGATACACGGGTATACATTCAATGCTAATTAAAATATAAGTCGTAATTGAAGAGTTGTAAAAAGAATTTCAGGGCTTCAATTCGAGGTTTTACGGTATTTTAGGGTATATTATTGATTCTTATAAATTATATATAGTATAAGGGGTATCCGTTTTGGGAACAATGGCTTGACCATGTATGATTGTAGTTTGTGCTCTAGTCTACTTTTTCTTTCTTTTTTATTCGTTAGCATTATAAATGATTTTTTAGTGTAATGTCTTACTAGTTTACAATGTTTATTATTAATTAAATACAGCAATAGTAAGAGAAGATAAACTTTATTTCGTGACCAAAAACTAAAGGTATTGTTTTTCTTGATACTTAACACAATTAATACAGTATGAGATAAATATAAAAACAGATTAATTGCACAAAAAATGAAATATAAAAGAAAGACTGAAACAAATAAGTATACAGTACAATATACAAACTACCTTTGAACATTTAATTGTAAACACGAGTTGAGTTACGAACAAAAGTCATCCTGTGTTATTTACAACATAATCATTGTTTAATGGGTGTGAACAAATATCTTCCATAATATTTTACGAGTGATGCATCTTGAGTATATTTCCTAATTGAGATGTGGATTTTCTTTAAAATAATATTATATATATATATATATAAATAAAAATAATATTATATATATATACATGTATATATATATATATATATATATACTGTCTCTTAATATATTAATGATTGTTCCATATTCTAATAGTTATAATAAACATATAGTATACTTTATGGATTTCCTTAAAAATATCTTCCATAATGTTTTCAAAAATGGCGTCACCAATTATTCTCATAACTGTTTGAAGGCTTACTGACAAAGCAAATCATAATCATTGATAAAATTAACAAAATGTTCTGTCGTTATACATTGGTTTCATCACACTATAAGTAATACAACAATAGACAATAGAGTTGCTTGGAACCTTTCTCAATGCTTTTCATTATTAGCGCTTTACGGCTCCACCCTTGTCAGCCTGTTGTTTCCGTATTTCTAAGGCGTTTCTATTCGGAAAAGTTTCTGCTTTGGTAAAACCGACAATTTATTTACATTAACCAACACATTGAAATTCTATATTCGAGCAGTGATTGGATGGAAAGATGTATTGCTTTTATCCGGCGGGCTATAAAACAACGTGTTTTCTTACTCAATAACAGTATTTTTCAGTCAGCACTGAAGATTTCCTAACAAGGTGCATTAGACAATCAAATTATTATTTTACTTGTATTACATTGGCTACGTCAGCAGATTAGAACGTAATTATATCGTCTTTTCATTCAGTAATTTATTACTTTTTTATATTTTTTGAATAATTATTAAATATTTAGCCATATTATACGCTCATTACAAGAAGGAAAACAATCTTTTGTTATTTTTTTAACGCAATAAGTTCATAAAGCTTTAAAATTTACCTATAATGAAGCTTATTTATCAAGACTACTGAAAAATTTTGGCATTTTATTTTATAAATTTATTTCTTATGTTGTAAAAATACTATTAGTATTATTTTACCAAGAAAATATATTTAATGTGTTTCAAATTATTATCTTGTTTACTTTACATTATTTATTTCAACAATCTATAATGAGGGTCGAAAGTAATCATTGAGGACCCTCAATACACAGCAAATGCAAGACAAAAAGAGTGAAGGCAAGAAAGTCTAATTAACAAATAGTAGTATAAATAAATTTAGACTACTGAAAGTAGCCCTATTGAAATAACAATAAAAAAAATATATAGAGGAAGAAAAAACAAAAGAAAGAAAGCAACAATCTTTCAATTCTTAATTTACAAAATGAATTAATTCAAAATGTTACACACTTCAGAGTTCTTCAGAGTTTACAAAATGAATTAATTCAAAATGTTACACTCTTCAGAGTTCTTCAGAGGTTCTTGGTTGTACTGTATATGGAACCCTCAGTGTAAAAAGGTTCTTTATTTTGAAGGGTTCTGTAAATAGTTGTAAAATCAATTTAACGAACCTGAATTGGTTTGAAGGGCTCTATAGCGAACCAATTTTTCTTCTTTTTTGAACCTGTATATAGTATATATATAAAATTTATGTTAAGTTCTATGTATACTCCTGTATATATAGAACCTGTCTCTTATACACATCTAGATGTGTATAAGAGACAGTTCTCAAACTCAAGAAATATGGAACCCTCAGTGTAAAAAGGTTCTTTATTTTGAAGGGTTCTGTAAATAGTTGTAAAATCAATTTAACGAACCTGAATAGGTTTGAAGGGCCCTATAGCGAACCAATTTTTCTTCTTTTTTGAACCTGTATATAGTATATATATAAAATTTATATTAAGTTCTATGTATACTCCTGTATATATAGAACTTAATATATATTAAGTTATATATATACTTCTGTATATATATATATATACTTCTGTATATATAGAGCTTAATATATATTCAGTTATAATATATACCGTACACCTGTGTATATATAGAACTTAATATATATATTAAGTTCTATATGAGTATATATATATATATATATATATATAATATATATATATAGAACTTTATATATATATATATATATAATATACATATATATATTGAATTCTATATATACAGGGGTATATATAGAACTTAATATAATTTTTTAAAGAAAATGTAAATTTAATTTTCAATTAAAGATGCACATTAGTCAATAATTAATCGCATTCAGTATAGGTAACGGTTTTTATTTACGTTATTGTCATCATCATTATCACCATGAATATGACTATGATGATCATCATCTATCATCTTCATATATAATATCTATAATATTATTAACATCAATACCATTATTGTCATTCTCATTATTAGTGTCATTATTGATTTCATCATCATCATCATCATCATCATCATCATCATCATCATCTTCATCATCATCATCATCATCATCATCATCATCATCATCTTCATCACCATTGATATCGTTGTCATCATTCTTTACCATTCCAGTCTTCATTTTTTTCATCATTACCATTATCATCATCATTAGCATCCTCATGATTTTTCTCGCCTTTGGGAATCTCTTCATATTAGTATAAGAACAATCAACAGTTTTAAATAAAGTTGGCTCTTCGTTCGTATATTCAGCAGCTGTAATGTAAAAATGTTACTTTATTTTGATGACGACTTTCAAATTTGTTATTGTATTTGTTTTAAACTTTATTCTATGATAACATTTTTGTATTTCATTTTTATATCGAACCTTGAGATAGTTTTAATGTTTAGTATACGCAATAAAATGAATAAAAATACATAAAATACATTATTGTCGTCACATAAATAACATCACTTTGTAATTATTTAGAAATAAAATAATAATATTCCAATAATTTTAATAAACAGAAGTGACACTTAATGCCATTCCCATTTGTCTCATATTGGTTAATTATTCAAAAGACGGATGGTACACACATTTACCTTATCTATTTTAGAATTTCTTTATTAATTCTTGTGTTATTTTTATTTTTTAGGATGTCCATTGAGAGATTTAAGTCGCTTAATGTATTGTCAGCCTCTGAGCTAAAACAGTTGTGTCGAGATGCTCAAATGAAGGTGTCTGGTACGAGGCGGGAGATGGTTTTGCGCCTACTTGGCATAAAAGATGTGAAGACCAGAATTTCCATGAATACTGTTAACAGAATGCTTGAAAAAGAAGGCGTCACGAATATCAGTAGCGTCAGCAGATGTCTTCGAGTAGGAATCCGGATGGGTTACATTGACATCAGCGGTGACAAACCTTTGGACAATGTAGTAATTTCCGATGCGTGCTTTCTTTGTCATCATAAACTAGAAGTGGCCATCCGGGACCTCCTCTACCAGCCAGATCATCCAAGATATGGGTCCACTGGTCTGGACGCAGCTGTGAAATGTCCGAACAAAACGTGCAAACATGGCTTGTATGTGACCGGCATGTGTTGCGATTCTATGTACATTAACTCTGGTGAGAAGTTCTTCCATTTTGGCGAATGTTACGGAGATTATCTCAAAGAGGTCTGTGAAGGATGCTGTTGTTCTTTTTACTCATGTAGAGGGCGCTTCCAGTGCCCATGTGTATATACGGGTACGGATTACGGCACCTTTGATGAGGCCTTTTTCGAATCGCTTTATTCTTCTAGAGCTAGAGAGTATTCCCCAGAAGATATATATAACATAATGTACAACGACAACTAGGGATACAAAAGATATACGAGAGTTTTATAATACATGCTTTTCTAGATTTTTTATGCCTCTTTGATCGTTTGTTTCTCTACGATGTTTTATGTATTTTTAACAAGGGCATATAGGCATAGACTGTGAAGCATATTTTTATGTATAATTCTTGGAGTTTAGATATTTGAATTGCTATTCTGCATTGTGTTAAATAAATTGTGTATGCATGTTCTCTATGTAAGTGTTGAATATTTCTTGTTTTCATTTATTTTCTATACGGTCAGCACTAGTCGCCTCACATTGCACTACTCACAATTGCGCGCCTTTTGTTGGCACGCTGTCAACGGTCAGGTGATGTTATTTGAGTTAATGACTTTACATAATTGCTGCGAAGCAGCCAATTCATATTCTTGACAGCAATTTGACCTCTGAAGGTCATTGTTTGTCAAAAAACAAGGGCTTAAGACGATTGAAAAGCGGAGTTTCCTTCTTTCGTTCTGCCGAGTAAAATCAATTACTTTAGGCGACGTTTGTAAAATAACCAACACGATACCAACGTCCGCATGTCGGGCTAGCCTTAACCTACTCTTGGCCTAGACTAGCTAGGATGGTATAGGTCTAGCCTTGAAGGGACGAAGGTCCCAATGAAAAACAACGTTGCTCCTTGATAGCTAACATTGTCTATTTTAACATCACAATAATTCATTATTAGACCTATAGTTCAGGGGTGGCGCCAGGACCTGCCCGACGGAGGGGCTAAAGGCCCCGACGGGGGGGGGGCTAGTGGAGCGAATCGAGTCTCACTTGGCTGGAGCCGGGGGACCGCCTAGGGCCCCCGGTGGGAGTCCAGGTAGCGAATCCCCCTGGAAGCCACGGATATTTGATGAATTATGGCGAATTTTTATTACTTATTTGATAGGCATCGAGTTACTATATTTTCTCTATGCTATAATATGACTTCATGTAGGCTATGCTTTCTAATGTTGACATCAGCTTCCAAAACCAAAACATTTTTGAATAAAGCAAGAAACAAAGAGTATGCAATGTAACCATCTAATTTATTTTCAACTCCTCATTCTTGAAAGTGAAATTCTATATTTTGGAAATTTTGCATGAAATCTGTCAACCACATAGTCATGGTCGAGGTTGCTTCACCTATCACGATGTATTCCAACCATCACGAAGCTATCTAAATGAGCATTTGTCATAACAGAACGCAAATTATTTTTAATTAATTAAAATTAATTTGAATTATTATTATTATTGTTATTATTATTATTATTGTTATTATTATTATTATTATTATTATTATTATTATTATTATTATTATTATTATTATTATTATTGTGGTTGTTGTCGTGATGAAAAGTTAACACAAACGATATGGTGGCTAAACGAATATTACATGTAAATATTTTTTTTATTTGTTTGTTCCCCGACAAAATTTATCGTAATTTCACTCCACAAATCTCAGCCGATACCTCGCACAACTCGAGTAACGCTCGTATCTATTGTCGTGACGTCATGGCTCGCTGGCTCACACTTGCGATGTCTCGCACTTGTGATCAAATAACACGCTGGCTAGCACTTTGGCAACACTCTTTGGCAGTCAACTCGCCCCTAGAAAACCAGCCCTTGGAAACTTGCCCCATAAAAAAATGTACACTTCCTAGACCATGCAGTCTTCAAAATAAAAATTGTAACCTTTGGTAATCAACTACATTTTACACATACATACACATTTTTGAAACTTTATTTAAAAAAACCTAAACCATAATTCACCACTATAGACACTTTTTGAGAAAAATGAAAAATTACGACTTTGTTACCCAATGAGAAGTGTTCTAATATAGACAATGGGGTCGTATCTCATATTATTTGTTATATTTTAATTATTCATTATTTTCACTTGACTCGCATAAATAATTTTGTTCGAAGAACATTTATATGCAGTTGTACTTCACAGCATTCACTTGCAATTTGCAATTTCTAGTTTATAGTCCTTGGTTGAGTGGAGTTGCAAGGATTACTTAAGCATGGTTTAAGAGTATTCTTGCACCAAGTTACATAATGGTTACATCATTCAAATATCTTCACATAAGATTTGAATGTAGGCCTAAATTTTACAAAGCACCATTAATCAGCACATTGTCTTAACGTTTAGTGGCGGATCCAAGGGGTGGGGGAAGCCAGCCCGCACCACCCCCCCTACCTAAATTGTTCAAAATTGGTAAAAAAAGAAAATTATATTTAAATTTTAAGTCTGAGAGTGGAATTTCCGACCTTCTAGAGGTAACATAATCTTAAATTGTCTTACCTACAACGCAGATGCTTTATAAAGGGCATAGAGGTTTTATGCATTATGCGCTCTATAAATCCATTCCATCCATTTATTATTATTTTTATTATTATTATTATTATTATTATTATTATTATTATTATTATTATTATTATTATTGTTATTATTATTATCATCATCGTCATTATTATTATTATTATTATTATTATTATTATTATTATTATTATCATCATCATCATCATCATCATCATCATTATCATTATTATTATTATTATTTTTAATAACCACCATAGTGGGGCTGAGGTGGTATAGACTCTCCATCTGTCAAAGGTTCTGATGTTTTTTAAACAAATGTTTTCAAAAAGAGACATTTTGAATTAGGTGTGGGAATCAATATCTATAAAGCCTAATTCTCAGTGCAGACTATGGATCTCATTTATTGTTTAGTTATAAATGATATTAAATTTTCCTCTAAACTTTAACCGTGTTTCTATCAAACTGTATTAGACTCTTTCAATTTTTAATGTCTAATTTTTAAACATTTTCATATTTTTGTTAATTTTATTGATTCTTTGTAAAATGTTGCCGCAATAAAATTTACAACTGCGAGTGTAAATTTTGTTAAATGAAAGCTAAAAAAGCAGGTTACTATATACCTAATTCATTATGTGGCCTAAGCTTAAAAACTGGCAAATTTTAAACATCATACAATATAGGTTCTTAACATTGCTGCATTTACATCGGACCCTAACGTCCAAAATTCGGACTGCGTTTGCGAAGATTCAATTGAGATTTTAAAAAATCGATAATTAAAATCTGCTCGGATACTGATATTATACGTCTAAAATAATACGGTGTCAGCTGTGCATACAAAACAAAACTTAATGGTAGTCGTCTTTGATTGTACATAGCATTCTGTCTTGCTCGTCCTATGTTAATCCTGTTAGTGGGTGGTAAGAAGAAATCTCAGGACAACTTATTCTTACTTATTCATCCCTAATATATAGGGTGTGTATTAGGGATGTGAAAAACATGCTTTCTGTTTTTAAAATATGTACTATATAATAAGACTATATTTGAGTCTATAAACTCTAAAAATATTGATTTATCCCAACCAGGAAATTTAATAATCTTTCTTTAAAAAGAGCTATAATTGTCATAAAGAATATCTTGTCCACTCCTAAGATTGAAATAAAATAAACATTCTGAGGTAAGACTAATTGATTAATATATACAA